TAGTTATTATTAAAATATTTGTGTTTGCTCAAAGAAAAAATATTTAAGGTGCGCAATCGTGTTGTTTTTTCTCAATTATTAAAAGGTAAAAAGTCCGCAATCGTGTTGCACCGGTCAGGTATGGGGTTTTACTTGAATAGCGAAAGAATGCTAAAATAAATTTTAACATTTTAAATAGGTAACTATGAAACAAAGCCATAATCATAATTATCAAGTATGCATTTGCGTATACGTCGGGACTCGGGACCAATTATAAACATGACAATTAATCAACTATTATAAATTCAAATATTCAATAATATAATATATAATCCATAATTTACATAAATAAAACGTTACGGTATGATTTAATTTATAACAATGTTAATTATAAAAAAAAAATATTAAGGTACATCAAACAACGCGTAGAGAACATTGGTTATTACTTGTCAGTTATCACCATATTATTTGAAACACACATTTTTATGTTATTTCGTTCGATTCAACGGGTTTTTAAAGCGAGACCTAAATTGTTAATATTTTTCATCATCAGATGTTACTATGTTACTATGGTAGTAAAATTATTTTTCAATATTGCCGGCACTGCCTTTTTGCTCACCCAAAAAACATAAAAATCACGAACGATGTTTTTTCCACAAGTTTCTTACGCTCTACAAGTCTAAAACTGAAACTTTAATTTTGACTTAATAAAGAGTAGCATAGCCGAGTTTGTCTAAGAAAATTTTCGAATGACATATTATTAATATACATTTAATGATTATTTAATTGCATATTCTCGTTCTATAAATATGATGTATCATGAAAGGAATTGGATACCTATTGCTTATAAAAATTGAAAGTATATATTATATTTCAGGGGCAAATAGTATGACGAGCAAGCAAACCGTTCGCCCCGTTGACCGATGCCACAAAAAACTATACTAAAAATAAAAATACCAAACTAAACTGCCTTGCTTTTTTAATTTTCATTTATTAACTTGTTAAGATTTTTTTTAAATTATATATTTCTCCAAATGTAGATGTAACTGGTTAAGTAAAACCAAATATAGTTAACGATAATAATTTTAACCAGGATTTTAAAAATGATAACCTGCAAGACTATTTTATATGATATACAGATAATAATACTAAAAACTTTGAGTTGATTAGAAATTATATTAAAAATTCAAAAATAGAATTAATAAGTAAATCAATTCATCAGTGTCAATGAAATTATTATAATGGTTTATTAGCCTAAAAATAATACTGTAGTTTTCAATACATTTATAAGTTTAAAAAAAAGACGAAATCGACAAAGTTGCGAAATTTAAACTTAACAAAATTATAATCATCAAAAAGTATAGTAGCAGTATATTTGATTTAAGCAGACCATTTTTTTATTATATAAATGTTCTTCTCACATGTGACTTGTGTGATTGTTACCATTAAAATACACTTAAAGGGCAAACTCCGTCAATTCAATACCACAAAAAAGTTATCATTAAAAAAATGCATTCATATTGTTTTGTTTTGTATCAATTGAACTGCCTACATCAAGTTCTAAGCCACAACGTTGACATATTGAAAATGCTGAAAAAATTATTAAAATACATTGAATATTAAAATAATATTAAGTATAAAACCAGGCAATCTTCAATGTATTATTTTTAAATAACAGGTACGACATACAAATCTGTGATTTACACAATAACTATACCTTCATTGTAATAAAATCAATACAGTTAAGATAAAACTGTCTCATCTTCTGATTTGATAACATGTTAGTGAAATAATATGAAGATTGTCGGGTAATTATTGCTCACCTTCGTTAAAATTACAAATGTACGCATCACAATTTCATAGTTATACCTTCAGACAAATTAACAAAGAACTTTAATTCTTTGTCATTTATGAGAGTGCTATATAAATACCAAACCATGTTGCTCTCGATGGTCAAAATTCGAATGGCCTCTGTTTGTATGTTCCCAATTCTATACGTAGAAATAGAAACTGGATGCAAGATAAATTTGTATTTTATTAAGGAAAAATAAATTATTCTAAAAGAATAAAAGATTTAGGATTAGCAAGAAGTCATTGAACATTAACAAAGGGATAACTCGTTTCGTGTAATATAATAGGCATGTCTGGCTACTGGCAATGGATAGACCTACCAATTTATATTTATTTAAAACTAACTTTTAGGATTTCTTTTACAGCGGGGAAACTGATAACTCATAAGGAACATCCCAAAAAATTTACTTTTGACCAGATCCAAGAAATAATTTTAAACACGCCTATAATCATTAGATGTAATATTTTTATTATAATATATAATAAGATTTAGTTTGGTAACTGATATTATATTAATATGTTATACATTTTGTTTTACTTGAATCGATTTATTTTAATTTTTTTAACCTTTACAAAATATAAATAATTTAGATCAGACGTATTAGAACTTCTTAATTCCACGGGGTTCCTTCGTCTCTTCGCAATTCTATTCTCAAATAATTAAGGACACAGAAAGAAAATGTTGTTGATGTTGAATAAAATATATAATATAAATACAAAAAAATGTATTAAGACAATGAATTAATAATTAAGGATAGAAAACTGAAATGTTTTACGCTTCCGATAAAACAATATTTTAATCGTTATCGTCGTTATTTTTTACTCTCAATTCTCACAAATGTGAGACGGCCCTTGCGGCCGCAATGCCGTTTGAATACATCTACTATATATAATTATAATTTAGATTGTTCAATTGCATTAGTTGTAATATTATTTAGTAAGTACATAATTGTCTGATAAGACCACTTTTTATAAAATTTCATAATTTGCATATGAATATTATTTTTGACTATTAATCATAAACAAATGATTTACTTATCATACATTAGTGATAGGCTAACTTAGCCCCCCAAAAATAAATATTGTTAATAATTGTCTCATTTTACGCATGTTGATTTTAGCACCCCTCCTATAAAATATAATCAAATCTCCGCTTTGCCATAAATAGAATATATATTTTACATAACTTTAATTTTTATTTTCACCATCCATCACATATATTTTGTTGTTGCGAATGGATAGGTTAAAGTATGTATCAGAGTTGGATTAGTGTGGTCAAAGGTATTCTTTTTTTTTGAGGGGGGGGGGGGTTGTCCTGTTTTAGAGATCTGTATTCCTCTCTATAAAATGGCCTTTATACATACAAAAGTTAAAAATATAAATTAATTTTTACAATAAAAATAAATATTTATGTATTGTCTGTGGCTTTAGCCTCTATGTTTAGAAGATCTCTACATCGTGTTTTAGTTATAAAACGTATACCATTAAGACATTGACTAACTACTACAAAACATTCAATAATTTATTATTTATCATGATATCAAAAATAATATCATTACAGTCATTGCACACCTGACACTGTGATTTTATTTTATTATAATTGGTTATCCATTATTATTCATCTACAATTGGTATAATTATTAATTATATAATTTATCTTTTTGTTATTAACTACAAGTTAAAATAGTATTAATTAAATATATATGATATTTTGTGTTTAAAATAAATAAATACATATTGAGTTTCATTAACTCATACGTAATGCAATTTTATCCAATAAGTATCAGTAATTCTTAAAAAAAATATAGAAGCCCATCTTTGGGCAAGGAAATAACTGTCACACAACGTTAGATGAACTTTTAATAGAATATTTTATATTTTATTTCTTAATCAATATTTTTTTTATGATTTATTAAGGTATACATTTATATTACATAGGTTATCAATAAATACAAGTTTTGAAAACTAAATTATTGAATCGATAGATAAAAGAATAAGATAAGCAGTTTATTTAAAATACCAAATACCCAGAACTCAAATGAGTAAACTCAGAGCCACAAATTTATTTGTGTTGATTTCAAATAGAAATATTATAATTGAACATCATAATATATTTGATATATAACACATCTTGACAATTCACAAATGTAGTGACTACAGTCACTAATCTTGATGTCAAACAAACTAGCAGTTGGTGGCTTTGCCTACTAGTGTTCCAAATCAGGAAACAATTATTGGTGTGAATTAAATGAAAATACACATTCAAGACAGTCATTTGCAAGGGTCGCAGCTGCATCATCCTTGTTGAAAGACGTTATCATTTTTTAGAATAAGTAGAAAGATGTGCACTTTGGGTGTGTGGGCGGTTATTCAAATTGTTTATTGGAGCTACTAACTGCCAGTTTGTTTGATATCAGCTATAACCATGATTACTATTATATTTAAATGGTATTATTTTTTGAAAACTTCCAATGAAAATAAAAGTACGAGAATTAGCAATACAGGATGATTAAAAATCCATGGTATTATTATGTTGTGTAAAAATACTAATCTCATGATGTATTTTATTTAAAAGTGCAAAATTTATTAAACATTGATGTAGAAAATCAGACTTTATCATTGAACTAAATATAACATTAATTATTTACTAACAACATGATCCCAAAAACTTCTTCACTATTGAAATATTTAATAAAAGTCTGAAGAGTATGTATATTACGTTTTAAACATCATATTATTTAAGTAATTTCATAACAATTTTATTTATTTAATTGTTACAAAATTAATAAAATAATGATTATTAATAATTGTTTAAACCAGAGGTTCCCAACCTTCAATACGATCCTAACATTTTAAATTCAACGTTTCACACGACCCCAAAAGATCACAATAATTGCAAACATAATTTCCATATTTTATTAACACTTTATAGTATAAAATAACAAAAATAAAAATTACGAGAACCAATATCAATCATTTATTTAAAATTTTCTGCCTCAATCTTTTTAGATATTGAATGAATGAAAAATATTTTTTTAATATTCTTAAGATTATGCTGAAATAATATCTGAATTATGCACTATTGGGACCTCCACGACCTGAGGTTGAGAACCGCTGATTTTAACTATAAGAGAAAAATATTGAATATGGTAGAAAAAAAATAAGGAACATTTCATTAAAATAAGAATTTATATTTATACTTTAATTTTAAGAGTTTAACATAAGTTTTTTTTCAATTAAATAAGTCAGTTAACTCCAGTTTGAACAAATGAGGTCACTTCTTATTTGAACATTATTTTCTTAGATTAAAATATCAAACACCAAGTCATAATTCTAGTAAGAAGTATAATTAGGAAAATATATGTATAATTATATTATATTAAATGAATAAATTATTTCGTGCACCTATACTAACTTATGATTATATTGAAATTGATCTACACACTATCACACACACTCACAAGAAAAAAATTAATTTAATGAACAGTTAATTATAAATATAAAACTTACAGTTAAGTATAATTGGTTTATTTTATCTTTCTGTTGCATAGATCAATCATCATATTTTATCGTTGTTAAATTCAATATATAATTAAATATATTTAATACAAAAATTACAAAGTTTCACTCGCGATACGACATATTTCTACCAATTTATTGTAGTCTTCCTTAAAAATAGCGATAACCATTAATTGCAATGTTTACTTATAACCTATAATCAATTACTTTGTATTACAACTATTTAAAAGTATTTTATTAAAAATACAATAATAAAATCTACCTAATTAAGAACTATTAAATAATATAGACCATAATACTATGCCAAAATATTATTATAATCGTACAATTAAACATCTTAAGAGAATATGTAAAACCTCACAAAAGCAAATAAATATTTGTGAACTCTATACCAAAAACACGTTAAATTAATCACTACAAAGAAATTCAAAGAAAAATTGGCTTCTCAATCATCACACCACTACGTTAACGTCAATATGTGAATTATTTATAATATGGTTATCCAAAGCTATGATTTTTGAGATGACATTAAGATTGCTTATTGCAAAGTTGCCTATTATATTAGTTCTTATATTAAGATCAATTAATAATATTTACTATTATAAAAATAATAATTTCCCATGTCAAAAAGATAACTTTACCAGTAGGTAAAAAAAAATGGATAGTTTTTGAGACCATTGACTAATATTAAATTATATAAAAATTACTAGCATTGTTATAGTAGGTAATCAAAATACTGCTGTTTTAAATAGTTATTCAGCCAATCAGCAATAGAAATAAATATATATAAAAAAAAAAAAAAAAACAATAAATGAAAAAAAAAATGCAATATGAATCAGGATCAACTGTTGGTCTGTTTTTATGTTGAAAACTGTACCAGCAAATAATAAATTTTAAGATTTGCAGATGTCAAAAATCAGTTGACTGAAAAAGAGATTATACCTAAATAGTTCATAAGATAGGTACCAAAATTAGTTTTATCCTATGTCGAGAAATCATAAGCGGTTATGTGATATTGCAATGATGAGTAGATAATCATTTCAGCTTAAAATGAAGAGATTTAACTATCCATCTTCAATTTTTTGTTCTATAATCTGTTTATTCTTAGGATCATTTTGAAAGATTAAAATCTTCTACGATCCTGGCCGTTACGTCTGTCTTGACCCCACCTTCCGCCCCTGTCTCCTCTAGGACCAGCGTCGAAAAGGCCTGGTGGCGGCAATACTCCTTGATTGTCACGTACAAAAGTTTCCACGAACGGCGTCGATTCCTATCGGTTATCAAATCAATCAACGCATTCATAGGGAATTAGTCATGTAAACAATAAATTACCTAATAATAAAATAAATAAAACATTCAAAGAAGTAAGTTCTTGTAAACTTTTTTTTAGATTTGGAATACCAAAGAGATATGCATTGACAAATGAAAGTACTAAAATACTTTAGAATAGGTACTGAAGATTTAAAATAAAAAAATTATTTAATTACAAATTGGAATTGAATGTTGTTTAATTCAAAAACAAAATCAAAAGAATGAACATAAAATGTACTCTTTGCTTAAAAGATAAGACTTTTCTTTGAAGTAAGATTTTTTTTGAATTTATTAATTATAGTAAAAACAAATCCTAACAAAAAAAAAGGTAATTAACCACTAAATATATAGTACCACTTCTAAAATGTATGTATTTAATTGTTTGAATAGAATTATTGTTCAGTTTTAAAAAATAGGCATAAGTCTTCATGACTCACATTTTGATGAAAATAGTTATTAATTCTCTCCTATAAATATTTACAAATTCTATTAATTATAAATTATAATAATATTAAGAGAACTCAATAGAAAAAACCATTGTCTGTACTCTTTCAAGATTATGTTTAAAATATATATATATTAAACAACAATATGTATTATAAATATTAATTAGAATGCTTGTACAGAAAAATGTTGTTTTTAATATTATCAGAAATTCTGTTTAATCTTCAACTAAATATCATACATTTTTATTTTTATGTATAACATACGTCATCCTAAACTGTTTTACTAGATAGTAGGTGCTCATAATTTATATTGATAAGAGGTATGTACATTTTTTAACCATAAATTTCATGTTTTTTTGAAAACTAAAAAATACAATATTTAAAAACGAATTAATTCTTAAGTAAAAGTTCTAATGACATTGAATTATTAGACACGGCAATTTAAAAAAAAAAAGGATAAGAAATGATGATGCAATACTGATTGTACTACATTTTACCTTTCAAAATAGTTCAATTTTAATAATATATTGATTTAAGAATTATAATTGGGGATATGTATTTAATGATAAATTATGAGCTAAATATCTAATTTTAGAGGAGACACCATCTATCTAACAAACCTACAGCCATAGTAAATTTGCATTGAGCAAAACCAATTTTTTGTTGTTAGCTCAAATACTAGTCAATTCAAAAAAAAAACTTAAAAGTAAGAACACAATGTGGGTTTATATGTTCAATTCTTAACAATATTTTAATTGTTATGCGAGTTATGAGCATTTTGACATTTTAATATTTTACATACAAATAATAAGTGTTATACATTTTCAAAGTGAAAACTACATATTTTGTAGATGGCAGTAGTCTTTATACCTCAAATATTTTAAAATAAAATATTATTTTAAATTTAGTTCCTATAAATAAATAATTTTCTTTAATTTTTAGATACGTTCGTGTATTTCATGATTTCAAGAATTTTTAGGATATAAAAATTCACAGCTAATCATAACTAGACATTTTTGTATTAGCTACTCCTACAAATAACAAACTTTTTGTTTCAATAAATGTGCAACAAAAACAAGTATGTACAATGTACCTTGTTTTTACACCCAAATATAATAAAGGTATGTTAGAGTTCTAATACAAATTAATAAAAAATAAATCTAACAAACCATGTTTACAAATAAAATTTCCAAAAGAATTTCAAACCAATTATAAAAATAAAATAAATAATTCTATTTTTTTATTAAATATTAAAAATGTTATCATTTTAACTCTCCGAAGTTAATGAGTATATGAATTAATGTTTTTAATGTCAAACAATAGATAATTTATGCTCAGTTTTTAAATAGAAGATAAATATCGATACCAATTAAAAATATACATGAATAATTTCCATAGTAAAAACAACATCCTTATATATCCTTATATCTTATAAATAAATCAATAGAACACAAATTGTCAAATTCTTGTAATTGGTGATAATTGTGGTCATTACAAGTATAGTGTAACATACTACACCAAAATATTCTTAAAATTTGACGAGTAAAACTATTCACACATTTTGATGATTCCTTTTGATGATTATATTACTTATTTGAATAACTAAGAATTTATGGAAATGTCAAATACTTCTCATTCTGATATTACAAACAAATTTTTGTCGAAAATCTGCTGTTTTAAATTTAAAAAATACTAATACGTTATTATTTTCATCTGCTTATAAAGATATAAATATAAAGATGTCCATGATAATTCCTGAAAATTTCTAATACCAAAAACAATTCAAACACAGCAATTCATTCTCAATTATTGTGAAATCTGAACCATAATCAAGATATATGTATTTTAGTATTATAATATCTAAAGCAATCATACTTCTAAGAAGTGATAAGTTATTATTAAAATATTAATTCATGCTTCAAAAGACTGACCTGATTTGCCACTTGGCTTTCCCCACCCTGTTAGGGAATAAGTGAGAAATAATAATTATGTAAATAATAATTATTAAGAGGTTTACATTGGTTATTTAAGCATTGAATATTAAAATCATTGATTCACTGTTATCTACTATTTTATCTTAAAACTAATTATTGTTGTTAAGAAATGTAAACTGGTAATTTAAAATAAAAAAGACCATTTTTCGCTTTGTGTGTTACTAGGAATTCTAGTATTAACTTTAAGAAATAAGAATATTTTAAACTTAAAATAGTAATAAAAAAAAGGTACATTACCATTCCTCCTTGGGCTGTAAAAAAAAATTCATTCATTCATTAATTATGGGAAAATAATTATATGATATCACATGAATTTTGAATAATAGCATGTTAAAAAAAAGTATCAAGGATAGAATAACTTGTCTTACAAATAAATACTAGTACTTGCATAAAATGACCAGGAATTTTTAAGCCAGACAAATTACAGAAATTGTGGAATAAAAATCAACTCCAAATTAAAACCCCCAAATTAATTAATTAATTTCAACATTTATTTTAACTAATATAACCTTAAACATTTCTATTTTATAAATGTAAGCAAAAACTTGTTCTGTAGATGCCTTTGATCTTAGCAGACATTATAATTTCACTTTGGATTCTGACTTTAAAAATAAAAAAAAGATTTTGCATAAATGTGTTATGTCACTATGGTATGTGCTATGTTTTGAACCAGAGAGATGACAAACAGTGCATTGACAAACTATAACCTACCACTGATTAAAAATAAGTAAAATTTTGGATGTCAAACTCTAAAGTGACTACTTAGGATTCTTGTGTTTCCACCTTTCACTTCCCTATCATGCTGACATTTATTGCATTTGCTGGGACTTAAGACCAGTTTTATTGAAAAAGTTCCAAATTGTAGATTACCATTGTAATAAGAAATACAAAAATAAAAAGGTTTTCAGCCATAACGCTGCACAGACACCACAAACAAATATTATTACTGCGACGATGGCAACAAGCGACAACGATATGAACAAAACAATACGGACCCGTAATGGTATTGTAGATATATTTATTATTCAGGATGATATACATGTTACTATATAGAAGACCCGTGGTAACTTCCCCGCTGAAATTTTGTACAATTTAAAAATAGATTAAAATATTACCAACTAATTTCGGTGTAATCCAAATTCTGGTATTTCGATATTTTAGTAATTCAATATTTAAGATATCACGTTTTTAAAAAAGACGGTATAACGACCTCAAATTGGTTTACCGGTATTACCATTACCCCCATGCTTTTCCATTAAAAATATGAAATCAAGACAAAAAAAGACGTTTTATGAAAAAAATAAATTAATGAGCCCTAACGATCTTTCCAACTAAAATTCAGAGCAGTTTGGTCACTTATAAACCAGGACATCTGGTCACACTATACAAGCATTAATATATGTGTAATACATATGTATTATCGATTAGTTACCAGTTAAAGCTTCCAGTTCACGAACAGACATACCTTCAACGGGAATAGGAGGTCCATCAAATTGCGGTTTACCCGGTCCTCCTCTGTGATCCTAGAATAATAAAAAAAATCCATAAATTAAAATATTATGTGGGTTAGCCGATATAGTAACAGGTATTTGATATTGGTTTGCACCAATACCAATGAAAAAAATTTTACCAGCATATTTAATTGATATTACAAACACACAATTACACATTTTTTTTGCATCAATTGTATTTTATTATAGGATTATTGAAAATAAATATAAAATAATTATATATATTTCATTTATTCATGATAGGATATTTGTAAATAGTGACATTCACACCTAGCAACATAAATGTTCTATACTTTATTCAAAAAAAGAATGGCAGTTAGTTAGCGGCCAACTTGTGCACAGAAGCATGGCTTAATTGCAATGCACAGGCCTCAAGCAGAAACTTGGTAAAGGAGAGTCAAACCTTAGTGAACGAAAACTTTGCCTCCTGTTCTTTTATGAATAGAATATAGTTACTTGTTTTATAAAAAAAGATAATACATCGATTTGTATCCAATAATTTATTACCTGCATGAATGATGAATTATCTTGTTGACGCCTCCTCATTTCTTCATCTTGATGATGCATTCTCATGCTCAAATCTTCACTTTGTCTCCTGAAAATATCTTCTTCCCTGAGTCTTTGATCTTCTGCTTGACGTTCCTTCATTTCCCATTCCATTTTTTGGCGCTCTCTATCCATTTCTCGTTGGCGCAGTTCTAAATGAACAAATATTGTTAAGTATTAAATTTATTTGATGAAATATGGCAATATTTACGTTCACGGAGCATTTCAGTTTCATGTTCGTAACGAGCATATTCCATTTGGGCCTCTAATTTTTCTTCTTCTAATTTCATCTCACGTTTTAATGCTTCTTCCTTTGATTTATACAATTCAGCTAACTGTTTCCAACGAGTACCAAATTCATGTTCAAAAGAATTTGGATTGGCAAATCTTGGACCAGTATCTCTCTGTTTCTGGAAATCCATAGTTTTTTTGGGCAATAACTTATCTGGGAGACCATCTGAACTATCTACAAACTCATAAGTTTCAACTACACAAGGGCGAAGTGAACTAAAAAATAAAAATAAAATTGTAAGTCCAAGTATTTATTAAAATTTAAAATATAAAATGTGTAGTTAATACCTGGTCAAAAAGAAACAACCTTCTGAACAACGTTTCAAAGCATTACTTGCAGCATTTTTACGCGAGAATTCAATAATTCCTTCTCCAGTTGAATTACCTCTTTCATCCACCATCACTTGGCAACGCTCAATCTAAAAAAAATGTATATTATTTTAATAAAAAAGATTATTTAGGTGTATTATATATAAAACATACATCACCAAATATTGAAAAAGCATATTCTAGAAGTTCATTGGACACAAATGGAGTAAGATTTTTTACTTTGATAGCAGCAGCAATGGGAGCAAATCTTATTTTCAACATACGTCCTTTACGTGTTTGACCATCTAATTCTCTTTTGGCTTTTTCGGCATTGGCACGATAATCCTATATTATTTAATAAGCATACATGTTTATTAATTTATGAATATGTCATACTTTCATCAGTTGTCTCTGTCTCACACATAGAACATGGCAAATCCATGAAGCACATTCTTCCTAAAATAGTTACGAGTGCTACATAAGCCTGATAGCTAGTTCTAAGAATATAAAAATAACAACTTTTTAAGTTTACACCAACTTAATTTAAAATAAAATGTGAGAAAAAATCTTTATTTGTACAGTTTATATTCTCATTTACAAGTTCAATAACACCTATGTAATTTGCTTTAATATAAACTAATGAACTACCATGAATAAAGATTAATTATGTTCAGTGTGAGTAATCACAGACAACAGACATCATCTAAACATTAATTACATTTCACTCTAAATTATTTTAACTAATAGTTTACCAATCTGATAAAAGCAAACATTTTTTCTTTGTTCAAGAAATTTTCAGAAACTTCTCCATAAGGTTTAAACATTTCTATCAATTCATCTTCAGTACAATCCACCAAGTTTCCTATGTAAAGACGACATTGGCTAAGGAACTTTCTTTCAGTGGAATCAGTTGGAGGAAGTTCATGAGTTGGGCCCATTATTTGCATAAGACGTTCATTCCATAGAGCCTGAAAGTAAAAAATATGAAAATATACATTTAATTCATCAACCTTTATATCTTGTATTAATTTGTGACTAACATCAGCTCTAGTTAAACGATCATCTCCACGATTAGGTGGACCTCCTCTGAAAACGCCTCCACCAACACCTCCACCACGTCTTCCTCCTCTTCCGCCTTCAGAATGATTGCGATTGCCTCTATTCATAATATCATTATCTCCTTGATGATTATCACCATGATTATTATCATTGCGAAAATCTCCTCTAGGCTGAAATTTAATATAATATGCATTTTAGTAACAATTTATTTTAAATTAACACAATAATAATAATACTCATAATTCAAGCATGGCATCACAGATAGCTTTTATTCTTTTCTAAATTCTACTGATTAAATAAATAATAACTCAGATGTTTGTAATCATCACACAGACTCAAAGATCTTGGTAGTATATATTTATAAATAATCATCATGTAAAAGAAGGTATATGATTAATTCTTCTCAAAAAAATTTGTTGGTTTAAAACGGTAATAAAATCAAGACGTATATCCATAATGTCGACACATACGAAACAATTCTTTGTGTTTCCTAGTAGGACAATTTGTTTTTTAAACCCTTTATATTTCAATTATATGAATTGGCACTATAAAACCCAATATTTTGGTATCATAGCGTGGCGAAAGGGCTTATATTTAAGTTGTTTTATCAATACGTAGGTATCCATATTTCAGATAGGAGCGAAAGACAATTGCAAATAGCTAAATTTCATCTTATTTCAAATGAACTATGTTGTCATCATACAAAATGAATACCAAATGTTTTTTTATTCTTTCAGAGGTGGGTGGTGATGAAATAACTGTCATCAAATATAATCAGAATGATTAGAAATATATCTCATCATGCAGAATAAAATATATTCAACAAATGTTATGTATTAATAAGAAGCTAACAGGAAAAAAATGTATATACATTTTAACAATATAACTTGATTAACATTATGATTATGAAGTTTAATATAAAAATGTAATTATTTCTACAAGATTATCAAATAGTGCAATAAAATACTCATTTAAAATTGTTTTTATAATTCACAAACTTTGTTTCATTGTATATTTTAAAAATGTACATATTTAACACATTGATACAGAGTTGACTTAATGAAAAAGTATTTTTTTTTTTATCAAGGCAGGATGCTGCATAACATTTATAAATATTATTCAGAAGTGAGTGCTGTTATAATCATCAGTTCATTTGATAAAGATCGTATAGTTAAAATAATAATATTAGATACAAGAATAACATAACTTTTAAGTTCATTTATTTTGTCAGTAGACAAATGAATTGTAGGATTAAAATTTACAAACAATCAAATTCGACTCAATTTTCTATGAGTATACAATTAACACATTTTTGTGAGGCATATTAGATATTAAATAAATAAGTACTTCAAATGCAATGAATACTTAATTAGTACGACAAAAATAAATGAATGCACTAGTATTAGGTGCAATAAGATAAGATAATCATTCGGTGGTATTATTTGTTTAAACGAGTTTAATGTAATAATCATTAGAAGAAAAACCTACTGATAAAATTCAGATTTATTTAATTATCACATAGACTCAAAGATCTTGGTAGTATATAATTATTGATAATCATCATACAAAAGGAAAATTAGTTGATGATAGTTCCTTCTTCTTCAATGCATTATAAGGCAGCGGTTCTCAACCTTCTTGAGTTCGCGACCCCCTATAATGTCACCAAGATGTCCAACGACCCTTTTAAAATGTAAGCATTAAAAAATTGAACCAACTGTTATTATTGTATTAATCTTAATATATATAAATCTCGTGTCACAATGTTTGTCCTCAATGGACTCCTAAACCACTTGACCGATTTTGATGAAATTTTTTACTCCGCGTGTAATTTGGTCCAACTTAAAAGATAGGATAGTTTTTATTTCAAATTTTTTAATACATTAAATTTTTTAATTAATTTTTTAATACATTTAAAATTTATTATTATTATTATTATTATTATTATTTTTATTTTTTATTTTTTTTATATTTTTATTTTTTTTAATATTATTATTTTATATATTTAATACTA